TGAATTCCTTCCCTGGTCATATAAATTAATATAGTTCTGAAAATAACAGACTCCACTTACAAATACCATTTTGGATCTCAAAGTGACTTGAATATTAGAGTGCATTTGCTAATGTTGAAAACAATGAGAGTTTTTGTTATTGGATCTTATCCTAGTTAGTGTGATTTAGTTACTCCACTACATGAAAATAGAGTTCTGCACAGCAGCACGGTTGGGATTTTTCTTTTTTTTCTCCTAAGTGTGGCAGTTTCAAGTTCTCATGGTGTGATTCCTGAAACTCTTGAATTTCTGAATTATTCTTTATTGTTTTACTTATTTTGTTCTGCCTTCTGTCTTTTAAAAAGGACTTTCTCCTACCTAATTGATATAAGTGATTGTTTAAATTTTATAAGATGTAACCTAAGGTTTAGATTTAGAGTAGTAAACTAGTAGGATGCACTACCTTAAAATTGTGAGAGCCTTTAATACCCTATTGACAGTTGAGATGTTAACATCAGCAGATGATGGTGATCAAGCATGATAGTTAACAGCCTCCAGGGATCTGGAATTAGGCTGCCTTAACTTGAATCTTGACCCTATCATTTAATAGCTGTGTGTCTTTAGATAAGTCACTTAAACCCTATAAACTTCAACTTTCTTCATCTGTAAAATGGAAATAATGACAGGACCATTCTTACTTATTCATACAAAATATTAAATTATAAATGAATATTTAATATTTATATTAGATATAAATATTAATATATAAATATTAAATCTTATAAAACTCATAATGCCTGGCATATGAAGCAGTCACTAAGTGTTAGTTTTTGTTATCATTCAAAGTATTCCAGATAATGAATGGCTGCCTTATTTTAAGCAATATTTAAATTACTGAAAAAAAAAACAACTTTGTATCCCTTTTTGATCTTCAAATAGATTTCTTCTTAAGTAGTGATTTGTAGATTACTGTCTGTCACCACTTTACAGTCCAGATTACTCATGAAAAGGAATTTTTACTTCATGAGCTAGATTAGTCCTGGAAAGGAATTTGTTAACATTACTAACAAAATATTGCAATTTCTGAACTTAGTGTACCATAACAATTTCTGAGATGGAGGGAGATTGGAGTCTTTCCTGAAAGGTTGAGGTTCTATGTATTTCCTGTCTTGTTTGTTGTTAGCCCAGGGCTTTCTTTACTGGTTCACTAATTTAGAGATGAGACCACCTGTGTGGTTCACATTTTTGAGGATTTTTAACCTGTTTGAGTTTGACCAGAATAGGTACTGTCTTTAGAATCTTATTTTTGACAATATAAATTACTTGGGTACTATTTTCAATGAAGAAACACTTATAATAATCAATTTACATAAGAATGGATTTTTGGAAAATATTATTTAATATGGTGAAGCATATCGTTTCTTGACCTAAGCCAATTCTTTTAAATAATGCCAGGAAATCAGAGAGATCTAGTTTAGATCTGTATTGTCTTTGAAAGAAGTGTATAAAGTTGATAGGTATAGTAAGTTCTGCATTCATAAATCTAACCAACTGTGGACCAAAAATATTCGGAGAGGAATCTTAAAGTCATCTTGAAAAAAAAAGGGGGAGGGAGAATAAAAATACTTGGGAAAAAAATAATACAACAAGAAAAAATAATGCAAAAAAAAAAAAGTAAGTTTAACAACGATTTACATAGCATCTACATTGTATTAAGTATTAAAAATAATTTAGAAATGATTTAAAGTATACTGGAGGATGTCCATAGGTTTTATGCAAATACTCTGCCATTTTATATCAGGGACTTGAGGACTTGAGCATCCTGGGATTTTTGGTGTCTTGGGGGGAGTGGCAGGGTGGTTCCTGGGTATCCGTAAACTTTCTGCTGGAGCCAATCTCCACCAGATACCAAGGAACAACTGCTTGTGTTTTTAAAATTTGTTTTAATTATACTTGTAGAGTATGAACATGTTTTCTTTTTTTTTTAAAAAAAAATTCAGGTGCTTTATGGTAGTTTTGAGTATAAAGCTTTATAAGCTGAGCTAAAGCCTTCACAAGTGTTTTTCCCCTTTATAACACAAGTTTCCTTCCCTCTAATTATTGCTGTTTCAAAATTGGCATTTCCCATGTGGGAGTTCTGTATATATTCTGTTTAAAGATAATTATACATATGTTGACTGTATTTTTCACCTAGCTTTTGGTTTATCTTTTAACTTTATTTACAGCATTTTTTGGTATAATATTTTGTCATTTTGACATAATTGTATTGGGACAAGTCCTAATGTGTATGCTAAATTATATTGTTTGCTGAAAATGATGGCAAGGAAAACCTGGCCGGCTCCTCCCAAGTGGAAGACTGCTTGGGGCATTCTAAAATAGCAAAACAGTATATGTATATCATACACTGGTTAAAACAATTGTTTAAGCGTGGGATATGTGACCCTGCCCCTGTGGCTCCCTTGTGGAGAATACTTTCTAGTTTGTCCTTGATCAGTGGTAAGCAGGCACCAGCTGCCTACCTAGTTTGTCTTGGTTCTATGAGAAAACACAAAACATCTGTTTGTTAATAGTAATTACCTGTTCAGAGAGAATAAATACGTGGGTCAGAGTCTGTTCGAGGCCCTCAGCCCATCAGCCCCCTGAGGCTCTCAGCTTGGAAGGCTGTTGACCCCTGGATAGTCCCACTTTGCTGTTTTATCTGGGTGTCTGCTTCTTAATTCCTTCAGCACTGCCTGGGTAGGGTCTCTACGGCTGAGCTGGTTTCAGTATTAGTTGTTCTTCTTTATGGTTTTTGCTTTTGGTTTTTTAAAAAAGCCTTATCCTAACTAAAGTTCACAAGGATAGTCTTCAAAATTTTCTTCTAGTACTTTTAATGGTTTAAAAAAATGTATATCGTTAACATATGTGGAATTTATTTTGGTGTACTATGTGAAGATGGGATGTACTTTATTTTTTTCAAAGAGCACCAGTTATTCAAACTTCATTTATTGAGTGATTTTTCATTTCCTAACTGTATTAGGCTGTTCTTATGCTGCTAATACAGACATACCTGAGACTAGGTGATTTAAAAAGGAAAGAGGTTTAACGGACTCGCAGTTCCACATGGCTGGGGAGACCTCACAATCATGGCGGAGGTGAATGAGGAACAAAGTCACATCTTACATGGTGACAGGCAGGAGAGCTTGTACAGGGGAACTCCCATTTATAAAACCATGAGATCTCGTGAGACTTATTCACTACCACTAGAACAGTAGAGGGGAAACCGCTCCTATTATTCAGTTTTGTACACCTGGCCCCACCCTTGACACATGAAGATTATTACAATTCAAGGTGAGATTTGGGTGGGCACACAGCCAAACCATATCACTCACTGTTTTGAAATGTTACATTTAACATACATTAAATTCCCATATATAATTTAGACCCTATTCTTTGGTTAGTGCTATACATTTTCATTACTATAGCTTTACAAGGCTACAATATATTATGAGAAACCTTGCTGGTCAGATGTGGTTTTGTTGTCAGGAATTTTTTGCAGTAATACTTAGTGGGGATTATGTAGTATTCAGTAACCACACACATTGTTTTCTCAATGAAATATGTGAAGTCACACTATGTGGGATACATATAAACAGTAAGCTCAAATCAGGTCAGGTTTTGCTGCCGGATGAGTTAAGGAAAGACTTATTTTCAGAGCTTTTGAATTTTTGCAGTACAAATAATGAATTACGGATTTGTAATTTATCTTGCTGTTGAGGGATGTATGTCTTCCTTCTTTGTTCATCTATTTTAAATTGTTTACTCTTGTATCTTTACTCTCCATTTGAATTTTAGAGTCAGTCTGTTGAGTTGCTTGAAAAATCCTTCAACATCTGTAAAAGGGAGGGATCTATAGCTGGCTAGCAAAATCCTGTATAGATTTTTCATTGGGATTGTACTAAGTAGTTTGGAAAGAACCGAATCTTTTTTTTTTTTTTTTTTTTAGGCGGGGTCTTGCTCTGTCACCAGGCTGGAGTGCAGAGGCGCAATCCCGGCTCACTGCAGCCTCCACCTCCTGGGTTCAAGCGATTCTTCCGCCTTAGCCTCCCAAGTAGCTGGGACCACAGGCACGTGCCACCATGCCGGGCTAATTTTTGTATTTTTAGTCACCATGTTGGCCAGGATGGTCTTGATCTCCTGACCTCGTGATCCGCCCACCTCGGCTTCCCAAAGTGCCTGGATTACAGGCCTGAGCCACCACGCCCAGCCAGAACTGAATCTTAATAGTGTTTGTCTTCTCATCCATGAACACAGATAACTTTTCTTTGTAGTTTTCTTTCATGTCTTTTAGTAAAGTTTTATAGCTTTTTTCCCCCTCAAAAATGCTTGCACATTTTTGTTGATTTAAATCAAAGTGCTTTTACGGTTTTGTTACTGTTGTTAATGGAATTTAAAATTTCTTTTAAATTAAAAACTGCATTTTCTAGTTGTTACTACTGAAATATATGTGAAAGTATTGGTGTTTATATATTGATCTTGAGTCTGACCAGTTTGTTGAGTTCTGTTATTCTACTAACTTGTCAGTTGATTATCTTGGGTTTTCAGTTAGAAAATTATATATTCAGGTATTTATTTTAATCTTTTTTGTGTCAGTCTTTATACTTCTTGTTTTTCTCTTTTTATTTTTTGTAGAGACAGGGTCCTGCTATGTACCCCAGGTTGGTCTTGAACTCCAGGCCTCAAGCCATCTTCCCACCTTGGCCTCCCAAAGTGTTGGGATTATAGGCATGAGCCATTGTACCTGGCACTTTTTTTTTTTCTTTTTCAGTTGGATGGTATCTTTTCAGCATTCAGTTTTGAGACATCTAAAATATCTCTAAAATATTGTTTACTGTGAAGTACATAATGCTGTAATCACATTTTGAATGTCCAAGTACGTGGTAGAGAAGGGGTGGATCTTCCTTAAGTGAGGGTAATGGAAAGTTTTTGAGAAGGGAAATATTTATTATTGGAGGATTTAATGTGCGATCTTTTAATTGCAGATATGGTGTAAGATACTTCTTCAAGATTGGACAGCTGGGACCTTCTTCTGATTAACCTTAAACTGACTTACAGCCACAGAGACACCTCACAAAGTTCCCATTTTTTTTTTTTTCTGCTTTACACCTTTTCTGGCTCCTAAGTTGACCTGGCAACCATGTATGGAAGTGCTCGCTCTGTTGGGAAGGTGGAACCGAGCAACCAGAGTCCTGGACGTTCACCCAGGCTTCCACGTTCCCCTCGCTTGGGTCATCGTCGAACCAATAGTACCGGAGGGAGTTCTGGAAGCAGCGTTGGAGGTGGCAGTGGGAAAACCCTTTCAATGGAAAATATACAATCTTTGAATGCTGCCTATGCCACATCTGGCCCTATGTACCTAAGTGACCATGAAAATGTGGGTTCAGAAACACCTAAAAGCACCATGACACTTGGCCGTTCTGGGGGACGTCTGCCTTATGGTGTTCGGATGACTGCTATGGGTAGTAGCCCCAATATAGCTAGCAGTGGGGTTGCTAGTGACACGATAGCATTTGGAGAGCATCACCTCCCACCTGTGAGTATGGCATCCACTGTGCCTCACTCTCTTCGTCAGGCAAGAGATAATACAATCATGGATCTGCAGACACAGCTGAAGGAAGTATTAAGGGAAAATGATCTCTTAAGGAAGGATGTGGAAGTGAAGGAGAGCAAATTGAGTTCTTCAATGAATAGCATCAAGACCTTCTGGAGCCCAGAGCTGAAGAAAGAACGAGCCCTGAGAAAAGATGAAGCTTCCAAAATCACCATTTGGAAGGAACAGTACAGAGTTGTACAGGAGGAAAACCAGGTAAGTTCTACATGTGTGTTTACCTTTAGTGGTCGAATTCATGTATATAAATGAAATAGCCTTTTTTTCCCCTGTCTTAGATTTTTCCCTCTGTAGTATATGCATCTTCGTTTTTCCTACTTATTTTACTATTTTCTATCCTCCATTTCTCAGCCTTTTCCAAATTTGGTCCTGTGTCCTGTTTTTTTCTAGTTGTCCATGTGTGCTTGTTCCCATTCTTGCTTGGTTCTTTTCACTGGTTTCTGTTTCTCTTCCTGTCTTTCCTTTCAGCGTATTTTATTTTTTTTTCAATTCTTGTGAGTATAATTTTGCCACACGCTCTTAATATCTACTACCAAATTTATTTAGACTAGGTAACTTAAGTGTAAGGTATACCATGAAGATTTGTCATAATGTCAAAAAGTCATTGTTAAAAAAGCAAAACAAATGACTATTGCAAGGTAGTATTGGCCAGTAGTGTCAGCTCAGAATGGAAATTACTTTAAAAAAGTTAATGTTGGCTGGGTGTGGTGGCTCACACCTGTAATCACAGCACTTTGGAGGCCAAGGTGGGTGGATCATTGAGGTTAGGAGTTCGCGACCAGCCTGGCAACATGGTGAAACCCCAGTTCTACAAAAAACACAAAAATTAGCCGGGTGTGATGGCACATGCCTGTAATCCCAGCTTCTCGGGAGGGTGAGGTAGGAGAAGTACCTGAACTTGGGAGGCAGAGGTTGCAGTAAGCTGAGGTCCTGCCACTGTACTCCAGCCTGGGTGAGACTGATTCAAAAAAAAAAAAAAGTTGATGTTGAATGATGTATTTATTAAGTACTAACAATAAGTAACTGTTCTTTTTGTTGCCATTCATGAAAGTTTTAACTTCAGGATGCTTATGTAGCTTTTTGTTCTTTAATTCTTTACATTTAAAGTGGAGGAAAAGCAACTTGGTGTGATTGTTTGCTTTTAGAAAATAAATGATATACCAAAAAAAAAAAAATAAATGAGATGACTGGGCATTGTAATTATGGGGCTTTGTGGTTGGAGAGCTAAGTGCTGTCACATCAGCTATAGGAAACATTCACTTAATTTTCTGTGCTCGTCCAGGTTATAGTTGATGTTTGGTGATAGCCATGTTGTGTTTGGTGAGAAAGCTGATACCTTCAAAGATATGAACAAATCATATTCAGGCTCTACCATTTAAAATGTTAACATAACTTTTTTTTTTTTTTTTTTTAAATGAGATGGAGTCTTGCTCTGTCTACCAGGCTGGGGTGCAGTGGTGCAAACTCGGCTCACCGCAACCTCCTCCTCCTAGGTTCAAGCAATTCTTCTGTCTCAGCCTCCTGAGTAGCTGGGATTACAGGTGCCTGCCACCAGGCCTGGCTAATTTTTGTATTTTTAGTAGAGATGGGGTTTCACCATGTTGGCTAGGCTGATCTTAAACTCCTGACCTCAGGAATCCGCTTGCTTCAGCCTCCCAGAGTGCTGCGATTACAAGCGTGAGCCACTGAACCCAGCCCATACTTTTTGTTTAAAAGACTTAGAGAATTTTTCTCTTTTTACATTTTTCCCCCCGTGGCCCAGGTTGTCTGTACTTTTAGAACTTAAACTTTCGAGCTTGATGTTTTTTGTTTTTCCTTAAAAAAGCTTTCTTATACCTTAAAGGAGAATTTTAAATCAGCTACCTCATTGTTGGTATTACACTTTATTTTTGGATTAGGTTAATGAAAATTATAAACTAACTGATCTCAATTTCTGCTGTGTTTTTAAATGATACTAGGAAATAAAGAAGGAATTAGAAATGATCTGTGTCTTTGATGAAGAAGTCATCTGCCACACAAAGTAGTTTAGGTCTGTAATGGACCTCATGTATGATTGTAGTCTTGTAAGATTACAATATAGTATTAGGCAGGTGTGGTAGCTCGTGCCTGTACTCCCAGCACTTTGTGTGGCTGAGGGGTTGCGGATTGCTTGAGGCCAGAAGTTTGAGACCAGCCTAGGCAATATGGTGAAACCCTGTCTCTACAAAAAATTGAAAAAAATTAGCCGGGTGTGGTGGTAGGTGCCTGTAGTGCTTGGGTGGCTGAAGCAGGAGGGTCACCTGAGCCTGGGAGGTCGAGGCTGCAGTGAGCTGAGATTGGGCCACTGTAATCCAATTTAGGTGACAGAGTGAGACCCTGTCTCTAAAAACAAAGATTATAATATAGTTTTTTCACTGTATCTTTTCCATACTTAGATATATTTAGATACACAAATACTTACCATTGTGTCACAGTTGCTTACAATATTCAATACAGTAACATGCTGTACAGGTTTGTAGCCTAGAAGCAGTAGGCTATATCCTGTATCCTAGGTGTGTGGTAGGCTGTACCAGATGGGTTTGTATAAGTCCATTCTATGATCTTTGCACAATGAGGAAATCGCCTTTCTCAGAATGTATCTCTGTTATTAAGCCAGATATGACTGTAAATCTAATTTAAGATTTCTGTTGATTGTCTTACCATTTTTACTAATATGTAGTCTAGATATTCAGATCTATTGTTTTGGCTACTTGAAGATCTCTAGTTACATTACATTTTGTATGTTAAAGCTCCAGACACATTTTCAACAATCAAAATAGCTCATTTTTTCTGTTCATAAATATAAAACAGAAAATCGTAGCTATGAAAGCGAAATTTATTCCAGATCCTCCCATTTACTGATAACTTTGCTATTCCACTGTTAACATTTTGATATTTCTCTTTACTGAAATATCTCTATGCAGACACACATAACAGATTTACCTGATTGGAATACTGTTGGTGTTTTGCTGTGACCTTTTTTTAGCTAATAACATTTCTACTGTATATTAAAGGCCTCTAATATATATCTAAATCATTATTTTTAATGCCTCATGCTATTCTATTTTATCTGTTCTAGTTAAGTTAATATCACAGGGCCAAAATTCTTCAAATTTACTTGGTAGTACAATGCAAATTAAAAACTGAACCTTGAATTCATTCGAATCAGAGATTTCTAAGTAATTAGAAATTATGGTAATTTTTTTCTTTCTCAGATACATTATAGCTTCAAACTACTTTGCTTTTACTTTTTAATTGGTTATTACATTTAAGTTGTCACTACTCAAAATTTGAATGTTTTAATATACTTAAAATAAATCTCCTTTTTTTTTTGTTTTTGTTTGAGACAGAGTCTAGTTCTGTTGCCCAGGCTGTAGTGTAGTAGCATGATCTTGGCTCACTGCAACCTCTGCCTCCCAGGTTCAAGCAATTCTTCTGCCTCAGCCTCCTGAGTAGCTGGGATTACAGGTGCCCGCCACCATGCCCAACTAATTTTTATATTTTTAGTAGAGATGGGGTTTCACTGTGTTGGCCAGGCTGGTCTTGAACTCCTGACCTTCTGATCTGCTGGCCTCAGCCTTCCAAAGTGCTGGGATTACAAGTGTGAGTCACTTCACCCAGCCACTTAAATGTCTTTCTTAGAGAACTAGCTTCTTTAAAGAGAAATTGTCCTTTAAAAAATATTCTTTAGGGAGTTTTTTAAGTTTGAGCCATCAGGACTTTAATAATGTGTAAAGAGAGAAAAAAGCTAAAGTAGGCCCCACTGATAGAGTCTAAAATTAAGAACAGGATTCTTAAATGTTGGCTCAGAAACAACATCAACAGGTATAGTTGGTTAAAACATAGATTGCCAGGCCTTCCTTTATACCAGCTAAGCACAGTGTCTTGAGATGGGACCCAGGAACTTATGTTTTGAACAAGCTTCTCTGGTGGTTCTGATGAGAAACCACTCTTGGGATCTTTGGAATTTAGTAAATCTAAAAATCTAACCTAATTGGTTTTTTTTTTCCTTTTTTTTTGAGATGGAGTCTTGCTCTGTAGCCCAGGCTGGAGTGCAGTGGCGCAATCTTGGCTCACTGCAACTTCCACCTCCTGGGTCCTGGTTCAAGCAATTTTCCTACCTCAGTCTCCCGAATTGCTGAGATTACAGGCGTGCATCACCATGCCCAGCTAATTTTTTGTATTTTTAGTAGAGATGGGGTTTCACCATGTTGGCCAGGCTGGTCTTGAACTCCTGACCTTGTGATCTGCCCGCCTCAGCCTCCCAAAGTGCTGGGATTACAGGTATGAGCCACTGCACCTGGCGTAAATCTAATTCTTAAACTTGTCTGTTGCCTGTCTGTTAATTTGTGATGGTTCTGTTTTGCCACTTTTGAGTTCAACTGTAAAAGAAGGGAAAAGAAACAAGGGACTATCTGTTCAGTATGTCTCATCCTTTATTCTGCCACTTTACATCTCAGGGTTGTGACCTCTCCTGTTCATAATGATCATTAACTGTGACAGGGACCCTCAGTGGATGGGGTGTTTGCAGGGGAAAAGGGTCTTTAAAATCTTAGATATGTTTAGTTAAAAAGAGCCCTCCAGGTGATTTTGATGTCTCCTCACCTTGTGAATCATTGATGCACAAGATAAATGTTCAAATGATATATGACAGCAGAACAGTGAAGTACGTTTTCTTAAGTTGACATTTTTGAGTTGTCAGTACAACACTGACAATTTAGTTTTTAATTTGCATTGTATTATCAAGTAAATCAGTTGAATTTGTCAGTTGAAGTACAACACCAAAAAAAAAAAAAATCATTCTTAAATGTAACATAATAGTACATTCTCAGTTTTTTGTTTTTTTTTTGAAATGGAGTTTTACTCTGTTGCCCAGGCTGGAGTGCAGTGGTGCAGTCTCAGCTCACTGTAACCTCTGCCTCCCAGGGTCAAGCGATTTTTTTGCCTCAGCTTCCCGAGTAGCTAGGATTACAGGCACGTGCCACCACGCTGAGCTAATTTTTGAATTTTTAGTAGAGACAGGGTTTCGCTGTGCTGGCCTGGATGATCTCAAACTCCTGACCTCAGGTGATCTGTCTCGCCTCGCCCTTCCAAAGTGCTGGGATTGCAGGCAGGAGCCAGCGCGCCTGACCTGCATTCTCAGTTTTTATAGTTTGGTATTGAATTGGAAATATCAGGAG